TGGAATTCATGTTCGTTCTCCCCAGCTAAGCTCAGGAATTTCCTCACCTATTATAGACGTTCACATACAAAATTGGGTAGAAGTGTACAGAAACCAACAAGAGTTTCCCCCATAATTTCCATACTGTCATCGACACATGTAGTTGACCATGTGTGTATTTTCTCACACTGATTATACCACTGCAATCTCAACTCACCATCATTGAGGAAACTTTCAGAAGGCTACCACCGTATTTGGGATCTAGCTTTACTACCCCTCCGCTTTGACTCTTCCCATTGTGCCTTCACCTCTGCTAAAGTCTCTTCTGTCCAATCTTCTTTACTACTCTGCCCAGCTGGTATGACCACATGCTTAGATCTCCTGGACTTGGCAGTTTTACGTTCTTCCCGCTGTTTCACGATGGCTGGAGAAATACACCTCCCGACCCTCATAAAAACCGTCGTTATTACATGGTCGGGTTTTGGAGGCGAACTGCTCAGTGAGACGAGTGAACCTAATATTTAAGAAATACCTCCATTCACCACTATCATCGTGAACTCCACTACATGTACGCCTTCTCAGCCTTGTGCTTCCGCTCTACTCTACGCTTCTCCAGCTCACTCGGAGTCAACTTATCGGCGGACTTCCCTGAATAGGAATGCATAGATGTCGTCAAGTGGCCCGATTCGATTAAGAATAGCCCTGATACTTAACACCGAGCAACTGCCGGCTCCTCATTTCAAAATCATCACCACTGACAACATAGCGATATCACCACATTCTCACTTTTCTGAACGTTGCCGGCCTGCTGCCCAATGCGCGCCAACTCTTCTTGCCTCTCCTCCTCTACAGCCCGACGATATTCCCGAGATGAGGATGACGAAGATGTCATATGGACAGGTTACACTGCAAGGTGGTTCACCCTCAAGTTCTCATGTGCGATATTACTAATGTGCTCACTTGCGGGAAAAATACAAAATTCCGCAACTCGGAGGTCTCTTAAGTCCACTGGGCCGCCCAGTGGTGCGGTTGAACAGTTTTGGATTTCTCAAAGACTATGCAAGAGCAGATGCAGACGGGTCGCCATCCCCATGCATACAACAGAA